TAGTATTCTGACATTACATTTCAAAGGCGATCACTGGGTGAGAGTTGACTTTGGTCAAGATAGACTACCAATGCCTCCATTTGTGAATCCTTGGGATGCTCATTGTAAGGTGAATGTGCATGGTTGGGATCAATTTTTCTTGGAGTAGCGACATATTATGATAGTTTGAACCCATGAAGTTGATTAATAGAAGTAACGAGCCTATAAATTTTAGCATTCATTGATGATTCTTTAGTTATGAAATATAACTTAGGGTGGCAGTTCGGTTTCCGGTTAGCGGCTAACCGGCCGGTTCAACCGATAACCACCGGTTAGTAGCTAACCGAAAACTGACGGTTATTTGCCTCGGTCGGTGTTCGGTAGAATAAAGCTGGTTTTCGGCTAGCCTAGTAACCGAGGATGATTAACCGTGGTTACCCGACTAACCGAACATAATCGACCAACCATCCTTTTAATAAAACCCCAACCCTAATTCTTTCTTCTTCGTACTCAAATCCCAGCCCTCCGCCATTCAAATCCCAGCCCAGCTCTGCCATTACCTTCGCCCTCCGCCATCCAAACTCCAGCCACCCTCCCCGATGATTCCGTCTCCCCTCCCCGCCCTCCTCGACGACCGGGCACCGCGAGCCAGAGCCAGAGATAGCATCGTTTCTCCTCATCATTAGTCATCAGCCTATCACCAAAAAGTGTCGGATACAAATATATTGAAAGAAGACCGATCGAAAAGAAAAGGGGGGGGGGGGGGGAGAGGCTACTGCACCTAAACATACATATATTTGCGGAAGGAGCAGAAAACGTGATCTAATTCACAGCGAGCAACATCAAACCTCCCAAATCTGCTGCTGGTGGGCGAGAGCAAAGGGAAAGACACCCGGCTTGGACACTGGCTATTGCAATGCAGGAGCAATGAGACCAGTCACCAGTCTGAAAGGGAAAGGCTTTTCATCAATGTTGTCTGAGCAGAAAAAGAAACCAGTCCGGAATAAGATATTCATGGTCAGAAGTTCAATCAGTGTTTCACCGGTAATAATCAGGGCCAAGAACAGTGACATATTACATGCAGAAATAATATCATGTTTCAGTGGAATACAAATTCTATACCTACCAACCACAGTTCCGCACTTCACCCAGCATTTCATGATCACCGATTCAATATAAAAGCTCCCAGTTTGAAAGATTAAAAAGTCACCAAGTGTATATGGATGAAAATGTTCTTCCAAGGACCTAGAAAGTTTCGAGGGTAGCCGTGAAAGAGAACTTTCGAGCACAAAATATAGCCATCAAAGTGAGCTCAATTGGTTTGTGACCATGAAGGAAACACGCTAATTGGTTCAGTATAGTTAGAAAACTTTTGGGGCTTCTCACTAAGATGAAAAGATCCTTAATTTATCAAATTTTCAAACAGAACAACCCTAGATTGAAGGAAATTTCCTAGAATCCTTGCCAAAATAAAATACCAAAATGAAGAGTTTCACCTTTCAAAGGCCGGAGTGGCGGCAGTTTTCTCTTTCGCGGTCTCGCCTAGGGGAGGATGATTGAAGAACTCGCCCTTGGTGTCTCTGCAGTACACGCAACTCGCCGTCTCTAGTTTCCTGGTTGCAGCACCGTGGTCTGTTGTAGCCAGAGACACCAAGGGCAATTGAAGCTCGGAGAGGCGACTAGCTTCTTCTCAGACCAACCATTTCTTCTAGTCTCGGAAATAAATAAAAAAATAAAGAGAAGAAGCTAGTCGCCTCTCCGAGCTTCAATTGCCCTGTCTCTGGCTACAACAGACCACGGTGCTGCAACCAGGAAACTAGAGACGGCGAGTTGCGTGTACTGCAGAGACACCAAGGGCGAGTTCTTCAATCATCCTCCCCTAGGCGAGACCGCGAAAGAGAAAACTGCCGCCACTCCGGCCTTTGAAAGGTGAAACTCTTCATTTTGGTATTTTATTTTGGCAAGGATTCTAGGAAATTTCCTTCAATCTAGGGTTGTTCTGTTTGAAAATTTGATAAATTAAGGATCTTTTCATCTTAGTGAGAAGCCCCAAAAGTTTTCTAACTATACTGAACCAATTAGCGTGTTTCCTTCATGGTCACAAACCAATTGAGCTCACTTTGATGGCTATATTTTGTGCTCGAAAGTTCTCTTTCACGGCTACCCTCGAAACTTTCTAGGTCCTTGGAAGAACATTTTCATCCATATACACTTGGTGACTTTTTAATCTTTCAAACTGGGAGCTTTTATATTGAATCGGTGATCATGAAATGCTGGGTGAAGTGCGGAACTGTGGTTGGTAGGTATAGAATTTGTATTCCACTGAAACATTATATTATTTCTGCATGTAATATGTCACTGTTCTTGGCCCTGATTATTACCGGTGAAACACTGATTGAACTTCTGACCATGAATATCTTATTCCGGACTGGTTTCTTTTTCTGCTCAGACAACATTGATGAAAAGCCTTTCCCTTTCAGACTGGTGACTGGTCTCATTGCTCCTGCATTGCAATAGGCTACATTCACCCCCCGGCAGTTCCTCCTTTCCAAATTGATTTGGGACTTTTGATGCCCGCCATTGTTGTAGTGACAAAACTTTGAAACCTGCAATTACCATCTTCCACACAAAGGATCACCCACCACTAGTACCCATATTCACCCATCCTTCCATCGATTTCAATGCCTCTCTAACTTGTTTTATTGTCCGAATCATAATCCCCATCTTCGGGCTTCGATCACCATGTTGCATGCGGACAATCGCGACTCCCCTTTTTTTTCCTCCCTCTAGACTGACATTGAGTCCAAGGCAGCATCAATGAATCGATTGAGAAAATTTACGGTACAAACTTAGAGCTCGAAGAGAATTGTACTGGCAGATTTGCGGGAGATACAAAGAGGCAAACTTAGTAAATTATTGTCGTACTTTTCGTCTTACGTAATGTGAGAATAAATGTGAATATTAACATATTGGTTGGAGTTATAAAGAGAAACTATTACCCATGGATAACTGTGGATACCCGAAACCCGAACGGCTATGGGCACGGTTTGGATTTTCTACTCGTTTCTCATGTGAGTATGGGTAAAATCCGAACTACTTTGGGTAGGGTAACGGATATACACTATCCGTCCCCGACTCGACCCATTGCCATCCCTAGCCACGTCAGATCCGAAAATCACTCTTAACGTAGAGAATTTTGAATGGGGGTGGCATCTTTATGTTTCCATTAAAAATGATACTGTAGATGTGGCATCTACGTGGCAAATGAGGATGGGTTGTCGCTGACGTTTGCATCAATTTGGTATCCATTAACCTAACTGGCGAAATCTCTAACATCGTTAAAGTTTGTAACGAAGATGGCTAGATTTGTTCAACAACCATCAAAATCCTGACTATTTCATGTATTTCAAAAGTTATGACTATAATTGTCACAAAACGCAAAAGTTGTGACTATTAAAGTGTATTTTGTCAAAAAAGAATGAGCAATTCTATAATGTTTTGAATTTTCTTGGAGTCGCTTGGGGACCCACTTGGTTGAGTTCAAGAGGTTTGAGCCTGCAAGGACTTTTGTGTCTCGTAGAATGGAAGTAGTAGCCGCTCCTAACAAATAACAATATGAAAAAACCAAGAATACTCTTTGTTTTAGTAGTATCATGAACAACATCGATGTATGTATTACTTAACCGCTCCTAAACATACATAATGTCACATGCATATAAGTGAATCAAAAGTGTAAAGAAATTTGTGCTTGTAAAATCCACCGCCGGTGGTCCAATCAGGATAGTCTTCTATCAGAGTCTAAATTGTTAGGTGATTTTTAGCAGTATGAAATTGTTTTGACCAAATTTCAGCATAAATTCATCAAATCCATATATTTAACACAATGTTACGTTCTTTTGCTGCTTTTTGTATTGTGAATTTTCAAAGACGGTTTAGTGCTACTTTGCACGGTTCGACCAGACCGATGCTCACCCTATCAGTAACTCTACCAACATCATATTGCTGCCAATCACTTTGCTTCATAAGAAATATAGCAAATTGCATCACAAAAGCAAATCAATCAAGCTAGCATTGAAACCAATGGATTTGCACATAACGGGGATGAAGACAGCAACTACCAATTTCATCCATAAGCAATTTAGTGAAATAAAACTATTAACTTTTATACGTTGAATGAAACATCACAGTATTGAAGCAGAATCCACGAAATTGCAGCAACAGAGTATCGTCCATTACAGACACTTCCCCTCCCTCAACAAGATAATGGTTTTCTAATCTAAAGCAAAATTATTGGGAGAGTTCAGCCTCCTTCTGCTACAGCCTGTCTAGGGCACTGTCTAATCCGACCAGGGACGGTTTAAGCCAACCCAAATTACATCAGAACTCACACAAACAAACTATCAAATTAAGCAAGGACCAGCCCAGGAGTTCATATTATCTAACCGACATAAAAGAAGAGCCTCAGTTAAGCAAAGTTATTCCTACAGGAAATGGCCCAATCCAAAGGCATCCATTCAATTAGTGGAAAACAAGGAACACATAAGAGTGCTATATTTAGAGTTGCTCACATTTCAGAGCTATTTTCCGCTATGAATCAAAACCCCAATAACAAACTAATTAAGTGCTTGTAACTGCTCTGGGTCATCAGCTCTCAGCTGGAATCAACAATTACATTGCAACCAAACTTCGCAATAATCTACGTTCCAAAGCTAGATTATCAACCAGAGAGACATTAATTATCTAAGAAGCTAAGAACAGTTCACAGTACTACCTAGCAGTCTAGCACACAAACAAGGAAGCATCAAAGCACTAATGAAGAGCCAGATTACCTAAGCACGGACGAAGCCACACAGAGCAAAAGTGGTGAACTGGCCAGTGTAACAGCAGTTGGCATACTTGAGTTACTAACAAATAAAACGCCCCAAATCTCTCCCCCAATTCAGTTAACGTTCATGCAACGGATTGCATAATGGACGAAAAGGTTCACAAGCTAAATGTTATGCTACACAGTAATGTCTGCATCACCAGTAATCCCCACAGGAACAACTTCCATCCTTGAAATGATGGAAACGGTTGGAATCCCTGACAACAATTTCCCTACCTGTGATATCGGATATACACTTAATCGCACTATGGCAATCTCCACAGACTCGCAAGTTTTTGAAGATCCTAAGGGAGCTTTTGGGTGGAGTGCTGATTATTCCATATGCAATCGCCAACCTCTCACTATGACTCATGAGGATATGCTCCTTCTCATCGTCCTCGACATCCTGCAACACGAAACCAAAGTCGGGAACATAACCCTTGGCCTTTATTTTCTCACACAATTCCTTCAGCTCCTTGTATATTTCATTACACTGTGTATGGGTCTGGTTCCCTGTGTAGAACACATTGACCTTCTTGTCTACTTCAATCGAGCTCCATCCGGGAGTCTTCTTCAACCCCATTCCTCTAGCCAAAGACCTCACATCATTAACTCCTTCCCATTTCCCAGCGTTCGCATACATATTCGACAGTAGAACATAGTACCCAACATTTTCCGAGTCGACTTCGAACAAGCGATCCGAAGCATATTTACCCAGCTCAACATTCCTATGAATCCTGCAAGCACTGATCAAAGCACCCCAGATGGATCCATCAGGCTTCATTGGCATGCTTTTAATAAACTCGAACGCCACGTCCAAGAGACCAGCTCTGCCATACAAATCTACCATGCAACCGTAATGCTTCAAAATAGGCTTAATTCCAAAATTTTCCTGCATCAAACAGAAGCACCACTCCCCATCGCTTACCAGACCTGAATGACTACAAGCTGACAGTAGAGAAACAAATGTCACGTGATCTGGCTTCACTTCTCCATCAAGCATTTCTCGAAAGAATTCAAGAGCTCTCTCGCCATGTCCATGAACTCCGTGACAAGATATTATGGCATTCCAAGGAACAGAGCTTTGCCTAGGCACTTCATCAAATAAAGACACAGCATCATCCAATCTACCACACTTTCCATACAGGTCAACAAGGCATGTTCCAACATAAATATCTGACCACATGGAGTCTTTTATAACCCGAGCATGAATTAGCATCCCCTGCCCCAAGGCACCTAGCTGTGAGTAAGCAGGTAATATGCTAACCCATGTACCTTGGCTTGGGGATATATCTTTCGACTCTTCCATCATATGGAATATATTGCTTGCTTCGTTTGCTAAACCATTCTGAGCATAACCAGTAATTAAACTGTTCCACGTAACCACGTCTTTAATAGGGAGTCCTTCAAAGACAGCTCTTGCGTATTCTGTGGTACCCATTTTGGCATACATGTCCACCACTGCACTTCCAGTAATAACAGCATCGGAAAAATATCCCTTCCTGAGTAAAAATCCATGTAGGGACTTGCCACTCCTGTGATCACTCAATTGAGAAACAATAGAAGCCAAACTAACAAGTGTAAATGCATCAGGTTGGATTCCCAATTGTTGCATATTGTCAAATAGTAAACGAGCATCGATGGGTTCACCATGTTGTTCATATGCAGCAATTATAGAATTCCATGAGACAATATCTTTGATAACCATCTGCTCAAAAACTCTCCTTGCATCACCTAACCTGCCAAATTTTCCATACATGTCGATTAATGCATTGGAGACAAACAAATTGAGCTCCAAGCCATGCTTGACGGCATACAAATGCATCAACTTCCCTCCTACAACATCATTCATCTGTACACATGCAGGAAGAGTACTAGCGACGGTAATAGCATCCATCTTCTCCCCCTCCAATCTCATGGCATCTGCAAGTTCTAATGCATTTGCTGCATTTCCATTCAGGCAATATCCAGAAATCATGGCATTCCATGAACCACTATCTCTGTATGGCATATTGTGAAACAATCTGCAAGCACATTCCACAACCCCAAACCTTGAATACAAGTGTATTAAGGAAGCAGCCACAAAGACATCCCACTCAAAGCCAAGCTTCAAGATGGAGCAATGAACCTTCATTCCATCAAATAGATTTCTGCAGGCTTTCAGCACTGGAGGGAAGGTATAGAAATCAGGTCGCACACCAGAGGTCAGTAGAAGCTGGTGGAAACAGTCTACCGCTTCATGGAAGTGACCACGTCGAACAAAAGCAGATACCATAGTATTCCACAAATAGACATCCGATCTTGGGCTCTTTTTGAAAATGTCTTCCACAAATGAGATGGGACCAAGCTGTGCATAAAAATTAATGAGTTTCCCATAAAGAAAGCTGCTTTGAGCTTTTCCCGATACCAGCATAAGTGTGTGAATGCACTTAGCATGTTCGAGTTTGGTGCAGGATTTGAATAAACCATCGAGGTCAATCCCACTGTTCCCATATTCAAATCGGTATGGTGGCAAAGAACTTGGAGGTACCGAGAAAAGCTGGCTACAAGTTTTAAATGACTGTTGAATATGCCTTGCTTTGCAGGCTGGCACCAATCTGTGCACCAAAACAAAGGAACATCATTAGTCATCAGCCTATCACCAAAAAGTGTCGGATACAAATATATTGAAAGAAGACCGATCGAAAAGAAAAGGGGGGGGGGGGGAGAGGCTACTGCACCTAAACATACAACTTCTGACCATGAATATCTTATTCCGGACTGGTTTCTTTTTCTGCTCAGACAACATTGATGAAAAGCCTTTCCCTTTCAGACTGGTGACTGGTCTCATTGCTCCTGCATTGCAATAGTCATCCAGCTGTCCGAACCAGAAAAAAATCCTACTCCTACACAAAAAGGGACCTGGCCCCTGGAACAAATGTAATTTACACAAGCAAAGCAGACATGATGTAGAGAGCTACCCATCACTGGAAATTTGTTCTTGTCCATTGCACGTACCTGAGGGACTCTCGAAACTTTAGTTCCCAAATACCCAATCTGAAAGTTACTCTTTCTTTTTCGTGGTTCTTATCAGTTTACAATTTGTTCATGAAATTTGACAACCAACAACAGAACCAGTTTCTAGTTTCCTTAACTCATTCTTTGTTAGATAGATGTATACTACAGATGGAAAAGACATGATGACTATGTGATGCAGACAGGTAATAAGGAAAGCTCACGAAAGAGAAAGCAAGTATACACAGTAATAACACCGGCCAAATTAACAAGAAAGTCGCAGCCATTCAGACCAAATTAGAATCAAGAGGAGGAAATCTACAGCGCTATTCTATGGATATCATATACACAGAGACATGAGGAAGACAAATAGAAAGTAGACAGAAAAAGGAGAACAGGGGTTATTAGAAACCTGGAAGCAGAGTGTCGATGGACAGCAGGGGTCGATGCAGGGGAGAGGCAGCCGTGACCGGAGAAGGGAGAAGGGAGACCTCACCGGCCGGCCGTTGCGCTCATCGGCAGGAGCGGGGAACGAGCCGCCGAAGACGACGACGACGATGGCGACGGGGGATGGCGTCGGGCGATGGCGAACGGCGACGGCGTCTGGCGATGGCGAACGGCGACGGCGTCTGGCGATGGCGAACGGCGACGGCGTCGGGCGATGGCGAACGGCGACGGCGTCGGGCGACGGGGAACGGCGGCTGCAGAGGAGAAAGCTGCTTCTCCTTCGTGTCTGGCTGTCTGCGCGAAGAGGAAGAAATGAAATTAGGGTTTCAGCACAGCAGCCTCCCCTTTCATTGTCGATATTTTAGTTTTTTTTTTAATTAAAGCAACCGGCCCAAAGGTTAAAAACCGGGCGAGCGCTTCGAGCGGTTAACCGCTTCGGCTGCTCTCCGGCTGCCCCAAATAACCACTCCGTCTAAATAGTTGAGTCGAGCCGGTTTTATGGCCGGGTGGCGGTTTTGGCGGCTCGGCCGGCCGGCCCGGCTTTGACAGCACTGCTTCTCCCAATTTTTGTTGAGATTACACTTTCAATTCCATCATATCCCTATCGTTTTATCCATGTTCTTATCTGCATTACGTTGATAACCACTTTTATATTTACAAGTGGCTTGTCGAATTCCTTCTGGTACTTCATAGTCAGTGATTAATTCATAGAATGGGATGTAAAGATGTGGGTGGCCTTCAAGTTCCTCCACAAAATATGTCTCGTCTGCCCCTAATAATCTTGAGACGTGAGTGCATGTGATATGAACAATACCCATAGGCTACATTTAGGGATGGCAATTTCGACCTGACTCGATTTATCCAACCTGTTTGACCTATTTTGGGGTGGGTCAAACCCGCCCCGTAGGCGGGTTTTAGCAGGCATGGGTACCTCTCATCGACCTGACCTGCCCTGACCCGCCCCATTCTTCACCTGTTCGTGCCTAAATTACATATAACATTAGTCAAATTACTTAAGATTTTCCTCTTATTACATTATATTTTAGCTATCATAAAGTTGTAAATAAGTGAAAACCTCAATTTCTTCAATAATTTAACTACATTTTATCATATTATGGTTTCTTTCTTGGTCTTTCAATGAAAAGAACGAATATTTCTACTGTTTTTCACATAAATTACATACCCAATGGGTCAACCTGCCCCGACCCGCGTCTCGTGATAAATTAACCGACCTGAACCCGACCTGCCATGGGGCGGGTATGGATATCGAGATACCCGCCCCGAACCTGCCCCATTACCATTCCTAGCCACAACCACCATTACCATCAGAATTAAACCAACCACAAAGAACGAATTTCACACCATCCCCAATGTTTTTCTTTCTTCTATATGGGTAATCCTTCCACCTTTTACTCTGATTGGCAATCCTACACTGGGCACCACCTATACAAATGTAGTGGGGAAACATTGAGTAAACTAAAAGGTACATTACAGTTAAGAAAATCAAGTAACTAAATCACTTGAGATTTGGATATGTATTAGCTTCCCACTCATCTTTCCTCTGTATGGGTAGATTGTGAGTTTACACCTGTATCTTGCCTCTAGGACCCTGTCGGTGCATCATCTATCCAAATGTATAAAAAAAAAAATGCTACATTCAGGAAACCTAACCATCCATCTAAACATGCTAAATTCAGGCAACTAACCGTCAATCTAAACATCCTAAGTTCAGACAATCTCACCATCCATCTAAATATTCTAAGAAAACGTTCCTTGAAGTATATGTCTTCATCGAATGATCGGTCTTAGGGTGAGCACCATTAGGCTCATCGATCCCATCTTCCTCAAAATAAAGGTGGCTTCATAGTAAACTAGTGGCTCCTGAAATTGTTGAATCATCTCTATAGAGAACCTCCTCTGGCATCCTCTGGAAAGTCTTGGAGATTGTAAAAATTATGGTCTTCTCTTGCTTCATGATTGAGAGGCTCTCGATAATTCAAAGTGGATCAAAACTTGACCCCTTTAGGTTTTAGGTTTAGAGATTTCTATGATGACTAAGAAATTCTATGTAATGGGTTAAGAGAGTACAAATCCTAAGGTTTCTTTATATAGACCCACCATCAGGGTATATTAGGAAATTACCTTTCATTAACCTAACCAATATATGACTTACCTTATATATTAAACCATTAAGTGATAATTACACTTGGGCCACAATTATTCCCTAGTGACATACCGGAATTGGGCTTACAAGTTGGCATGCAGAATTTGAAGTTGTGAATTTATGTATTTATGCTTCCAGTAACCTCGGTTTTTGTTCTCCCTTTCCTGGAACGAATGAAAGAATGCAAGGAATAGAGTTCATGTTCATGCGATGCGAATGGAGGAGCCTCTGTTTGTCTCCGTACATTGGTTTTCTTTCTGTCCAAGACAGGGGTCCAGTTTTTTAAATACTGTCATCCCATGATTTTGTTGGTTATTGATCTCGGTAGTCGATACTGTTCTGGATTCTGGAAATTTGTCGGTTGTTATTTTCTTTACTTGCATGGACTAATTATCGTGCATTTAACCATCTTATGTCATTTCTATATATTTATTTGTGGCGTATATATGTATCTATATTTTTGTCTGCCATTGGAAGGGGAAAAAAGGACCTTTGGTTCAATTGAAAAGCAGTGGCTTTTGGATATGAAGCAATGGCCGTTGGGCATGAAGCAAAACATTGTGTGGAATGCATGAAACTGCTTGTCTCCTCACTACTGGTTCGTTGGTTACAGGAGAAGGGAAAGAAGCACTCGGCAATCATTGTGGATGTCGGGTAATTACTCTGTCCTTTTTTTTTAATTTGATGCCATTCTAGAATATATGATTGTATATATCATATATGGTTTTGGCTCTGATATACGAGACTTTGTATAGATTTGAATTCCAAGTAGTTGAAAAAAATGCAACACTTTGGTTTATGTAACCAAGTTGTTTGTGTTGTGATCTTGGAGGGAAATGAAAACAATGTGGTCATATTTCCTACATGTGATCGACCACCAAGTTTTAATGTGTTCATCACATTTGTCTAATTCGTTTATGTGGAATGGATGAATAATAAGTGTGACAATTTAATATTGGTACATTTTCGTTCGAAGAGTTGCATGAGAGGATAGAAGGACCTAAACTTCGATATGCTAAAGTGTTCCACAAATTATGTATCAACCAAATGCAAGTTTTTTAGTGGATTGGAAGGTGGTTTGGATGATAGTAAGCTATCAAGCTTAGGAAAATATGAACAACAATAGGTGTGTGAAACCTATGACGAGAGGCCTGTGAGGACTTGTGTTCAAGTATATCTAAGCCTAAGTTGTTGCAAATGTTATGTTCAAAGTAAATTGAACATAGTACGAAAAGATACCTCCATTGTGTGGAGATGAAGTTTAGTAAATGCACGTCTAAAGGATTGCATTACGAGAAAGCTACAAGCGGTAAGGAATTCTAGTTCCTGTGGTAGTTGTGAAGACATGATAATTTATTTATCATGTATGTGGTTTAGGATTTGATGTTTCCTATGCCATGAGGGAAAGGAAATGATGCAAGATTGATCATTATAAGGATTGTATAAGCTTGCCAAAGAATGGTGAACTTCAAAATAATCATCGTCAAAATTGTTTGTGGTATATGTACACTATACCATGGTAAACAATTTGACTTACGATAATTGTGTGTAGCTATGTGTCAGAATTGTTTATGGTATATATAGATATATATCATTGAGGAAAATTTTGGCATGAGAGCTCAATTGAGATTATCATGTTGAACTTAAAGTCTGAATTACTTATGGTATATTTTTGAAACTTATATATACCATTGGCAAGTAATTAGACTATTGACTTAGAAAATTCATCGGAATTACTTGTGGTATGGCAAGCTTCTTTGGCTAATGCCATTAGGAAGTAATAAGATCTGAATTGTTTGTGGTATGCT